CGCAGCCGCACATAAAATGATCTTAAAATAATACGAGCCTTCGCAGTCGTTAACTATTCGCGGTTTTCAATGGGCACTGCTCGCTGCATGTTGGATATTTCATAGAGTAAAATATCATTGCAACAAAACATCAAGAAAGATGCATTCAGGCCAGCCGATTTCTAGCAATAGATGTAGAATGATGTCTTTTAAATTTTCTGTGAAAGCACTCCAGCTGCTGTGACGCTGTATAGCGCGTAACACATTAAGTGATCTCCCTTTAAGCGATAACCAAGTGATTTTCGTGACGCAAAAATATAAAAATAATAGCCTCGATATCGCGCGAAAATATGCACGGATATTTGTCCGCGGACGTTAACCGTTTCGAAATAAGAATTGTGAGCTTCGAGGAACAGATGTCCAAGGAGCATGGTTTTTTGCTAAATAGAGGCTATTGTGTTTATTATCCTTCAAAGATATTGCAACGCGCGTGAAAAAAAGTTCAAGACCAGCTTACTGTCTGCTTCGTGGTATGTGTTCTGTTGAGGGTTCTCTGGTACGACTTAAAGAACAAAAAAATTATTTCCCTTTTTCTGTAACAACCATAAAACGTTGTCCCTTCTGTCTGACGAGAAAAAAAAGAATAAATTAGACATGGTTTGATGCTATTCTGGTTTAAAGATTCAAACAATTTAATCGAGAAGTTAAAATTCATAGACCCCATCAATCATTGGACCAATGAGTCTGAATTGTAACTTCTCTGTTACAGTTATTAAATCTTTAAACCAGAGTAGCCTTAAACTATGTTTGATCGTCCACCTGGTTGCCTTGTAAACTTAAATATATCTTAAGAATAAATTAGTTGAATGAAAAGCGCCCTTTGATGCCGTAGGAGCAAACCACCGAGCAAAGTTTACTCAGGAAACCGCCTTTCCATTTTGTTCCCTCGGCAAACCGCCGATGGAACAACTTGGAGTCAGACCTCTTGGAAAACCAGAACCCACTGGAACGTAATAGATGGCCGTGCTACAAAAGGTAACGCGTGAGCAGTCGACCTCATCGCCTCATGAGGACGAGTAGTAAGCAGTCGAAACTTCGCGTTCGACACTTCAAATGACAACATAATGAGACAAAGTTATTATTACTTAACACCACGATGAACAACAATCTCTTTTACGATATTAACATTTAATTTATCGAACTTCTCAAGAAAAGTTATTAGTAAAATTTCCACACAGCCCCATACTATTGTAAAACAAATCTGTTTTACCAGTGGCAATGTATTGTTTAAGTTATTGTTTTCTTTATCCAAGAACTAAATGCATAATGGCCTGTGCGGAAATTTTACTCCTTAAATTTGCATAAACGTATCTGTCTGTCAGATAAGCGAAATTAGTCTTGGATCCAGCAGAATTATAGTTCATCGGACTGAAGACTTATATGAAATAATGCCTCGAAGTTAATTCGGGTTATTGTCATGGATCCCAGTTCCAAAGACCGCCTCCAGCGCAACGATTAGATGACCCTTTTAGTTCTTGTCTGAGCGAAATAAAATTTATCCCACTGGCAAAAATTCCATAATTGCTATACAGGTAAATCGAAAGGATTGCAAACTTTGCGACTGTCTAAGCAAGGATCCTTCAGAATTTTAGACCAGCACTGCATGAGGCGATAATTCACCATACGTAAAAATTTGTCGTGATGCATTGAGTTGCTTTTCTAAATCGTGAACAGATTTAAAGAAAATTGCCGTGTAGGTTTTTCCGTCGTCAAGTTTTCATGCGTTAATTCTGCATTCTTACATACTTTTTTTACAATATGGCGATTGCAGAGTTTCCTTTACTCTCCATCCTCAAACATGACGTCAATTCAAAGAGAGATGAGGCTACAATAATTTTCAAACGAGTCTTAAAGTTCAGTTGCATAACAACGACACTCGTGTCTGTACTTGGAAAGGTCGTACCGTTGTGAATTCACAACCCAGCTACTTCCTCTTATCCTCAATTGATTAACATCTGATTGCTTAGTCTCTTAGAATCTCAAATCGAAAAGATCTCCAAGGCATAATGGCTGTCGAAGAACGCTTTTCACTTTCCCTTTCGAATTCTTACTTCGACAAGATTGATATCTGCATAATGTTTACAATAACCCATCATCGCTCGAACCCGGTATTTTACAGACGCATGTTCCATAAATACTGTAAATGGGAATAAGATATGAAAATTTACCAGTCTAGCTCTTGTGAGTACCTCTTTGTTGATCTAAAATAGGAAATTCTGTTGCAGTCCGACCTGATCAGATGAAATTATACCTAAATATTCAAAAGGCTAGGCATAATGAAATGCAAGACTTAAAGATGACGTGCGTCTATGTTTACCACCCACCTTCAGAGGCAGAAAAACATCGTTTTTTCTTTCATTTGACTAACCTGAGTTCAAACATTTTACCTAACATCTCCAAGCGAAAAAATATTTTTAAATCTCCAAAAGCACTCGAGTTATTTAGAAAAATGTAATTTGAAATAAAAGCCAATTGTTCAGGAAGGTGTCATCACCTCGTACTTGGACGAATCCACTGAGGGCTCGTTTTTTAAAGTGATTTGCATATTTTGTTTACATCGCACTCTTGAGAAAATTCACACGTGAAAGCTCTTTGCTTGTGGCAAAATCTTTGCTCGTGGAAAAATAAAAAGCAGGAGAAAGTCCTTAGTAAAAATAGGAAAAAAAATTCAAGCCTTAAGAACAAAGAAAGAGAACCACTCTGTCAAGAAAAGAAAAAGATCTTTGGTGAAAGCAACTGGTACTGGCGGAGCTTCACGCTGGCGTCCGGATTTCGTACACAGAGGTCGCAAAAATTTGTCATGTATAAAGTTAAAAACGAGGTTTCCTTTTATTTATCTTTTATTTATGTAAGTACCAGCCTTGATACAAAAACATTAGCAATCGCTGCGAATCGTAATTCTGAAAGCTGTCTGTCGAATCGTTGTCTTATGTCGGGGACTGGGGTACACATTATTATGTAATCGTTGGCTAAATTAACCGGAAAGTACACCCAATTAGTTGTCAATCTGAAGCAATGTGATTCAAGTTAGCCTTTGACCGTGCGAAGACCTTGTGAAACCTGTGACTGTTCATTAAAGTTACAAAATCGATTCTGTGACCTTCCTGGATACTGACTCCAGCGGCCGGAGAATTCCAGGAAATGTGGTGGCCACGGTGGGTGGATCGCGAGTGTACATTAAAATGTCCTCAAATTACCATGTGCTTTCGATGAAATCTAAACAAGTAACGAAGCCTACACCATAAACGCCTAAACCTCGAAAACATAGAAAACACCGAATCTGCTCTCAAAACGAAGCTTAAACAACGTGATAGGGCAAAAGGTAAAACAAGCAATGTCCTTTATGGTGGTAAACGATCTGCAAGAGCGAGACATTTGACAAATCCAAAGGAAATAGTGAATGAAATTGACAATGCGCGAAGAATCTTTGAAGCAATGAAGATAGAAGCGAAGGATAGCGATGAAGAAATTGGTGAGTGGAATGATACGATTGACGTAAAAATAGAAGAAGCGAATAGTGGTATTGAAAATCTCGAAGAATGGTTGGCACAAAGAGAAATGGAAGCAGAAACCCGAGAGCGAGAAGATTGTTGGGCCAATATTCCTAACAATTGACAAGACGAATGTGCCACCTGTGACCAAGTTTACGTATCTAAGAGAACTACTTGACGTCAGAGTGAGGAGAACAGTCGAAACTTTACCGCATTCAGCTGAAGGATACAACAGAGCCGTAGCGATCGTTACAGACCGATTTGGGAAGCAGAGCGAAACAGTGAAACCATGCGTGAAAGAAATTTTTGAGTTGCCGGAAACCCGAAACAAGTTCAAAATGGAAGATTCTCACCTATTCCGGAAACGAGACCGCGTGTTCCAAGCTTAACAAAGGAAGCTACTAAAGTGCAAGAAGAGGGTCACAAATCGTCAGAATGTAGAAAAATTGCCTTACCGTCAGAACTAAAATAATTTCTGGTCACGAAGAAGCTCTGTTTCAATTGCGCTGGCCCGCGTAAATCATCGGAATGCAAGAGTACCGCAACATGTTAACATTGATAAGCCAGGCGGTGTGCGCACTCGGATTGCATTGTATCATGGTCGTAAAACGAAAAGTGAGTCATTTGCATTCTGTCGCGGTCGAGTGAACATCTTTGGTAGCAGCAAGATTTCGTGAATAAACGTGGAATGTAAAGGGAATTCACTGTCTGTTGCCGTTCCTTCGAAAGTTAAAAAGTGTTTGCGGACCTGTGCGACTCCTGTTATTCCTCCACGACAAATCCGTTGTTAGAAGGCAATTGAAGAGATTTAGAAAGAATCGTAACTGCAGCCTTACCCGAGAATAGGTTAGGCCAGCTAGGAGCTGATGGCTGTGCGAATAATATCAAATTCGCGAGTTATTTAACGGGGAATCATCTCTTGACACGCAAACGCATTTCAAAGAGGTAGCAACCTTTTAATACACGAACTATTTTCCATGTCATACACTTAAAGGCGTGAATACGGGTTCACGAAAGGAGAAGCCTAACGCCTCCTAACACCCAATTCGTCTCGCTCAACGTTAATTAAAAAACGTGCATAGTT